ATGTCAAGTTTCATTTAATCCATATAGAATTGAATCTTTTGAGTGACAGCAAGTTCCAAATCTTTGTTATATATTTATGGACAGACGGACAAACATACGGACCGACAGACGGCTATATAGGGTTTATCCTTGGGTGATTACAAACACTCACACCAAGTTTCGTCAAGATCCATCAAGAAACTAGCTCTCTATCATGTCCATAAAGAATTCAAGAACAAGGGCAATAACTCATAGTAAATATTTTTCGATTTGTCTGATTTTCAATAGGGTTCATCCTTGGGTGATTACAAACACTCACAGCAAGTTTCGTCAAAATCCATCAAGAAACCAGCTCTCTATCATGTCCACAAACAATTCAAGAACAAGGGCAATAACTCATAGAAAATATTTTTCGATTTGTCGGATTTTCAATAGGGTTCATCCTTGGGTGATTACAAACACTCACACCAAGTTTCGTTAAAATCCATCAAGAAATCAGCTCTCTATCGTGTCCACAAACAATTTAAGAACAAGGGCAATAACTCATAGTAAATATTTTTCCATTCGTCTGATTTTCATTAGGGTTTATCCTTGGGTGATTACAAACACTCACACCAAGTTTCGTCAAAATCCATCAAGAAACCAGCTCTCTATCGTGTCCACAAACAATTGTGGACAGACAGACGGACGGACGGACAGAAACCGTTGATGAAGCAAGGCAGAAAAGCGCCCTTAATTTTATCATTGAGACATTAATAGAAGCGAATCATAGTTGGACCGTGTCCGGACCCATTTCCCAAGACACCAGATTGCCTTTTATATTGACACAATATGCGATTATCTATATACCGTGGCATGGTAATTATTACCATATTATTAGGAAAGCTTACTATACGGTTAACTATCCTTATTCATCTTTATATTGGTCGCGAAGAAGATTGTCTAGCTAGAGTAGATCGTCAGGAGATCAATAGAGACTCCCCAAACCCTAAACCTCCAAATAATCACTGCATCATCCAATAAATCATTTTTGCCATTAAGTTTATATTGTATTTTAAAAAGCCGTCAAGATTAAATCTTATTTTTGATTTGAGCTGATAACAAATCAAGTGTATTTGTCAGTGCCTATAAATTGTGTAATTTGATCGAGAAATGTTCCACCAAGGTTTGATTTTATGAGATATAATAAGAGGAATTAGTCGTTTTCTGTCTGAATCTTTGTAGTAAATCAGAAGACAATCTGACAACTTGTGTAAAATGTCGATAACATGGATTTCGATTTCAAGATTTCAGACTGATTTTTTGGACATTAATTATAATGTAGTTATATAAAATACATGTTTATTCGAAATGAAATAAGACTGCTAAGCCAATTCAAATGAATTATTTTTCTTTTGTGAAAAGACAAGAAATCGAACAAATGAGTAATATCCGGTAAACATGTGTCCTTTAAGAATGTCAATATCAGATTCGATGCTCATGATCCTTCGTACAATAAATGACTTACTGAAAACTTGTTCAGTCCTGCAAAAAAGCCGATTCAAATTCGCTTTTAAAACAAGCGCACCTAAAATTTTATCAGACCCATTATACATTTTAAGTAAATAACCTCATTTTTGCTTGAATTAGAATTCATCAAATGAAATTTATTTTTAAAAATCACTGTCGGCAAATGATAATTCTTCAGTGTACAATACGGGAACTGCTGTACTGCAATGTACACCTGTTAAAAGCTAATTATCTAAAAGATAATTAGTAACCGAAATAATGTGGTTAACCATGTTGATGAAAATTATTAGTATGATCAAACTTGTTAATGGGTATAAGTCACCATTTAAGTATAGTTCTTGATACTTGATATAAATTTACTAGATATGTTTCCATTAAGAATATCAACTTCTATCTTCTCTAGTGTAATATCTAATGGTTGAATTGTATCTTGGGAAAAGCATCTTATAAATTTCGTGTCATTCCATCGTTATCTGGGATTATAGAATATCTCTAAGACTTTCTCACATCCCTTGTTTCCTTTGCTTACTTTAAGGTCAAAACACACTCAATGGTTTTACACATCAAAACCATTACCAAACTTTTATTGCAGTGCTATTTTTGGGGGAAAAGGTGGGATAAACCGAGACCACATTACATGTCGTTGTCCTATCAGGTGCTAAAACGTAGGGCGTAAACTCCGTTTTCTTTATAATATTTTTTTTTATCTTGGTTTCGTTTGATTAATTGTATGTGATAAAAGTGGGTATAGATTGTACTTCTCTGTTCCTTTTCAAATCCGAAGCAGCAACCAAAGAAAATGTCATTATGTAATCAGTTTCTAAGCTGTCGAGGACCAATTTCGTTGTCTGTATTGGAAATAAATAATATTTTTAAAGCAGTAAATAGCCTGATTATTATTCTGGGATCATTTGGACCAGACCACTTCCTGACAATCATCAAGTCACATATGGTCGTTTTCAATTAAGTGATTTTTTCTTACAAATTAGTCCCTTGTGTGTCTTGTCTTTGACACAGTTAATGCACTAACGATCTCATTATGATAAACTCCGTGATAAAGAATTTGATATGCCAATTAGGAGCAGATATTTTTTGGTATTATGAATGGAAGCTCTAACATTGCCCGAGGAAGATATAATAATCAGGTTCTGATAATCTCTAAATAGATTTAGAATTGCATCTTGGTGGAAATAACTTGATTTAACAGGATGATGAATACCCAAGAAATCTTATTTTAAACTGTTATTTAGTGAAGTCAGTGTAAAATTAGAGTAAAGCACCCAGTAAAAACCATTGATTGAATTGCGTTTTTAAGTTCAGTGACATTATTTTGTAGCAGCAATGGGATAAGTGACTTGGTAAAACAAGACTTGGTTTTACAGTTCATCTAGGAACAAGAGGATAAGTCTTTAATCCTTGTATTCCCCTATGGGTGACATTCGTGTAAATATCTCTGATATATACCCAGATTGTTGACTTCGTGTTAAACGACATGCAATTCAGTCGGGATTATAAATCCCTTTATTTCGTTGCAGAGATTGTTCTTTCAAATAGCTTCCATACATAGTAGAAATGATTGATCATTTTTCGTTACAAATCCAAAATGATACGTAGAATTGATTTAGAAAGGGTATTGCGTAAGGTTATGTACTTTCAAAGAGATTGGGAGGATGTTGCAAATAGTAAATGTCTAGGGGACTATATTCTTTCAAAAAAAGTATTTGCTGGTTGTGTTATGCTTTTTCGAAGATTTAAAGGTGATAGGATTGCGTTTTTTCAAAGAGAATTACTGTTGGTGTGACGGCTATCTGTCAAAGAGAGTGGTACCGTGGCGTTTTTTCAAAATGTTAATGTTGATAGTTTAATATCTATTCAAAAATTTGCTGGTGGTAGGTTTAATTTGTTTCAAAGAGTTATAAATTATGGTATATTTGTATTCTTTCAAAGGGAGTTTGATTGTAAGTTAACGTGTTAATGGTGGTAATCTGATATTATTTCAAAGTGTTAATGATGGTAGTTTTATGTTCTTATAACGTATTAATCATGGTAGTTTTATATTCTTTCAAAGTGTTAATGATGGTAGTTTTATATTCTTTCAAAGAGAGTTATTGTTGATAAGGTGAAGTGTAAGTGATTGTAGGTATATATATTTTCAACAAGGATTCAACAATGGTGGTAAGGTGGGGTTCATTCAAAGAGAGTTGTTGATGGCAGGGTGGCCTTCTCTCAAAGAGTCAATGATAGTTTTATATTCTTTCAACGAGGATTAATGGTAATAAGGCATCGTTCTTACAAATAGTGTTATTAGTGGTAAGGTGAAGTTCTTTCAAAGAGAATTGTTGGTAGTAGGGTTGCGTTCTGCCAAAGAAATTTGTTGGTGGTAGGGTGACATTTTTTGAAAAAGTCAATGATAGTAGTTTTATATTCTTTCAACGAGGATTAATGGTAATGAGGCGTCGTTCTTACAAATAGAGTTATTAGTTGTAGGGTGGCGTTCTTTCAAAGAAAGTTGTTGGCGGTAAGGTAGCATTCTTTCAAAAAGTTAATGATAGTAGTTTAATATTCTTTCAAGAGAATAAAGTTGTTGGTGGTATGGTGATGTTCTGTCAAACAAAGTTGTTGATGATAGGTGACGTCCTGTCAAACAAAGTTGTTAATGATAGGGTGGCATTCTTCAAACAAAGTTGTTGATGATAGGGTGGTGTTCTTTCAAATAAACTTGTTGGTGGCAGGGTTGCGTTCCATCTAAGAGATTGACTGATGGCAAACGGCCAAAAGGGGTCATGTTCACCGGGAGTTAAATATGGTAGAATTAGGTCTATTAAGGCAGTATTTTTTTACTTCGTTTGAATCGATATGATACGTCATATTTTCAAACGGATTAATTTTTACTAAATGCTTATTGCAAAGAGCATCTATTCTCCTGCATATTTACATTAGTATATATTTTCTGTTTCATTTGATGAAAAGTTCTCAAGAAATAAGATTTTTAATATTCAGAAAAACTTAACACATTTAACTAAAAAAAAAATACAGAGATTGAATATCAACATACATGACTCCTTCGTCTTTAATCACATTGAACGACCAAATTGGTCCTTGTACATTGCAAATGCTTTCAGATTGTTAATCTGGTTCTGAAAATAACTTAGTAATGTTACTCCGCATATCGACGATAAAACAATATATCTATATCTAATCCACCTTCATTACGGCAAGTCAGGTCCTGGACTCAACATATCAACATAACATTAATAACATTAGTATTCTGTCAACAATATTGACCAATGGTCCCAATTCATATTCGATAATGTCGATCTATACTTTAAGCGTCACATTTCCGACACAACGCACTAGCGAATAAAGAAACTCAAGAGTAGTAAAATATTACAATTCGATTCGAAATTCACTATCGTAACACAATCATATTTTCGTTAATTGACTATCGGCAAATGATTACAGAAACATTAGGTTTTATACTTTAGTTAACGTGCAGTTAACTACAGAAATATTCAGCATTTTTTGAGTAATTGTTTCAAATCATCTCTAAATGTTCGATTCATAAAAGCATAAATAAATGGATTGGCGACATTATTTAGGAAATAAAGTTGATAAATGATAAGATTGAATGGAATAAGTTCAAGCCCCATCAACCACGATGGTAAATATGAAATAATGAAAATAAGAGTTACCACAAATAACATAGCCGCTGTTTTAATATTCGCATACATCATCTTTTCACGTAAGGCAGCTGCGGCTCTGATTGGTCCTTTTCCCATTGCAGCACCAATTAAAGGTGGTGCAATACCATTAACAGCTACTGCAGTGAGCTGGGTTTCCTCCATACCTAGTTCGCCACAGTTCACACTGGTATAACAACTGGCACGTTTACAACGATTTCTCCAAGCTCTACGAACTAATATAGACCGGTATATTAGAGCATATAAAACAGCCACGATTATAAAGCTAAACAGGAACAAGGCAGCGTAAATCTTTTGATAGATATCCGATGTTGAATTCGACAAAATGATTTCGTTTGGAACACAGATACCGTAGTACGTAAAGTTTTTAGGCAAGGGTGGCAGCTCTTGTGATTCATTCGAAGGTTCGATGTAGTAATACTCGCCGTAATATTCCGTATCATTTGGAAGTTCGGTTTGAATCAAACGACTACTTTCTAAATAAACACCGTACTGTAATGACGTAATAATTCCTAAAGCAAATGAAAATACTGTCAGGAGAAACACACAAATTTTCGCAATTTTTACAGTCAGTATATGTAAAAATGGGTGACAAATACAGAAATAACGGTCGAATCCAATTGCCACCATTATGAACGCAGATAAAGGTACATTTGACGTTATGAGAAATAAATAACTTTTACACACTACGTCATAAACTAAATGATACTGGAGCAATTCAGCCGCAATCGTATACGGAACAACAATAAGGCAAGTTAAAAAGTCCGTAACAGCCAACGACAAAATGAAAATAGTTGATGTTGATTTTTCTCGTTTTTTCATGTATATGTAAAAGGCTATAGCGTTTCCAACTATGCCCAAAACGCAAAATATGGACAACATCGTAGTCAATATGATCATAGATTGTAAACGTCCTTCATCGTGAGAATCATCTGTGGATGCCAGCATTGACAGGTTTATCATTTGGAAAGTCGTCGAATTCATCCTTGGTGACGGAGACTGGATTGGCATTACTTCGCCTGAAAATAAACAATGATGGAATTTTAATAACAGAATTAAAGTCGTTCGGCATCGAATATTGTGTTCTTCATATAGTTGAATTCGTCTTAATCTGATTAAATTGTAAAACCAGATGCATTTTTAGACGCCCACATGAATATGTGGTCGTATATTGTCGTTGCCCCTGTCCGTCGGTCCGTCCGTCAACATTTCTTGTGAGCACTATAAAGACTACAGTTTTTATCTGATTTTGATAAAACTTGGTGTGATGCTTAAGATTGATAAGATCTCGGTCAAGTTCGAATTTGACATATTTTCGATGGGCGGTTTTTGAGACATTGCCCTTGACTTCGAACGCCTTGAAATTTGTTAAAAATTGTTCGTGAGCAGGATTGAAGCTACAGTTTTCAACCGATTCTGATGAAACTTGGTGTTATTCTTGGAATTGATAAGATCTCGGACAAGTTCTAACTTGATATATTTTTGATGAACTTTTTTTGAGTTATTGCCCTTGACTTTGACGCGTCAAAAGTTGTTTTTTGCCCTTGATTAGAGCTGTGTGATTTAATTATTTGTTGTATTTGGGTTATTGATATTGATTTTAAAAAAAATTGTGGAATTACTCAGCATAAATAACTGGCATATACATATATGTAATTGAATTCAAACTAATAAAATTTCTTCAATATGAGAAAATTCGTACTTTAGTCACTAAAGACTGTTTTATCATTTCTGACAGCTGCCAGTGGGCGTATGTTACCTTGCCTCGCAAGCTATCTTTAGCTGATAGAATGCTGCGTTCAGTACTACACTTTTTCTATCATTCCACTTTTATAACATGTTTTAATAAAGAAAACAAAACATCGACATCTTAAACACCATAAAATGAAACATCGAGATCTGCATGTTAATCAGATTGTGGGTTTGAAAATATCGAACAAAAATTATATTTAGCTTTTGAAGATGATCAAAGTGTTTGCATTCTTCGATAAATTCCACTTAAAAATATCGAAATAAAATTAATAACACTTCAATAGAATTTTGATATTAAGTTTGTGTTTACTATAGTTTCATTTAAAAATAATCAAAGTACGATTGATTATTCACTTTTATTTAGTTTCAGGACTTTGTACCGGTAATATGATAATTCTAACGATTTAAAATTTTTTTAATAAAGCACTAAGACTTCTAATAATAAATATTGATTATTACTCCACTCGATACCTTATGCTCCATTTATTGGGTCAAATGGACAACAATTATGAAAGGTATTTAAATGCTATAGAATTCATTCGTGCTCCCCGTAAAACATTTCATATCAGAAATCTTAATAGAAACCAATCCCAACATTCGAAAGAGAATCCATACCGTATGGGTTCAAATTGACGCTATATCCTTTATATGGCTTCATGTTACTAATATATTGTCTGCTAGAAATATAAACGTTTTGAAATATAATTTAGGATACGTTTATTACGATTGTTAATGACTAAGCAATTTTCTTTATGTGAATAAACAATTATATGCTATCCTCTTAATACATGTAGCATACACGAAAGGAACGTTTTTTTACACTTACTCTCAGGTATATTTTTATGCTTAATATCGTCAAATGTGTTATGCATGCAATAAATTGAAACTAAATAACAGAACACAATTTGACACTATACTTCTCTGCCGTCCTTTATAAAGTACAATGATTTGAAGAGAAAAAAATGTTAAGTAAGTAACTATGAAATTACAATCAAAGACAAAATATTGACGACAAAAACAAAGCTCAGTCTTTGTGTATCTAAACAAAATATATCAAACAATAGTTTTAGTACTCAGAGGAAAATGAAATTCAAAGTCTTTTTTCCAAAATTATTTATTATGTTTACTTTTCATTTCCTGTTGGTTGTGTTAATTAGACAAAATGTTCTTCAAATAATTGTTGAAAACGCGAAAAAGAAAAAAAAATCAATATCCCAGAATTTTCCCTGCAGCAATTTTATATTTTAATGTCACTTTATGCACGACACAATTTGTTCCATGTCATTAGATCTAATAGCCTTACACAAGGTAATTGCATCACGTTTGTCATTTACCCAGAACGGTGGGATAGGTTATGATGTCACAGGTCATTAAAGTATACAATAAATCATACCACGACCGATTATCATTAATGGCATTTGAGGGTTTGTTATGAGTCCCCTCTTGTTACCACTCGCTAATTTACTTAATTTCCTTTTTATCATTAAAGTTCGAAGGTCAATCCCAAACCTATTTTTGGTTCACTCTATAAAGCGCAGAATAATGAGAAATCTGATATTGCGGAGAAAATAGAGGCTTGATGTACTTAAACAGTTTCCTAAATGTATTCATATACTTAAAGTAGTCAACATGTAATCGTAGCAACCTCTTGTTCTGCTCCCTGATAACTCTGCATTGGGTATGTAAATGCCGCAGCGATTCAGCGAGTTAGACGCTCGTTCATTTACCTCATTTCCCAACATAAGTTCCAAGAGTCAATACGGTCAGTGATCCAAGTCGCAGAGGCAAAAATCGGTGGTCGGTCGGCGGTACCCTTTTTAGAGGTCCCGTGTGCCACAGGCTGTGAAATATGCCTCTCTACACAATGGAAATCGAGCAAGAGCAAACTAATTCCACTGTCTCAGCAAAATTTCTCCCAATAAACTATATCGATAAAGTCGAAAACTAATAATAATTTCTAGTACTAACTCACTTAAATCATTATAAAGTAACAAGTCTCATAGAATTACTAACTTGAAACTAGTTTAATTGTGATTTAAACAATATTTATTTCAATAATAATTCGGTACAATAAATTTACATAATATACAAATAACGGGATATGAAAACAAGCCGAAGCTTATATTAATCCGTCTCGGTTTAACTTCAAATGTATGTACTGTATTTAATATGAAGAACATATTTACAAAAAATATAGTTTTAAAAACTTGACAGTGGAACATACACACATATATATATATATAATCATACATAGACAGGTAAAGCCATTCTATAACAGAAATGTTCAATATTCTAACGAGTTTTAAAAAACAATGTCCTTGTTATCAAATAAAATCATTTTATTCGACTAGTTTAATTGTCTTGGATAATCTTTTAACATTTGACATTCGTTTGTTTAACGTAATTTTTTTTTATTTATGTTGGTAGCAGCTCTTAACTGTATTTTATTATTCCATTGAGGTAAATCAAGAATATAAAAGTCCCACTTGCGTGATGAAGATTGTGGATATAATATACAAGGCATCTGGAAATATACTTGGACTTTCATTATCTCCATTATATACGCCCACATGAAATGGGCCATTTTCGTCCGTCCGTCCGTCCACAATTGCTTGTAAACAATCTACAAGACACAATGAATGAACCCTATTGAAAATCAGAAGAATAGAAAAATACTTAGTATAAGTTATTGCCCTTGTTCTTGAAAACGCCTTCAATTTGTAGCCCATAAACACTCTACAAGGGACAATTATTGAAGGATTTTAACAAAACTTGGTGTGAGTGTTCGTAATCACCCAAAGATGAACACTATCGGAAATCAGAAGAATCGAAAAATATTTAGAATGAGTTATTGCCCTTGTTCTTGAAAACGCGTTCAATTTTTAGCTCGTTAACAATCTAGAAGGCACAATTCCTGGTGGATTTTGACGAATCTTGGCATGATTGTTTGTTTTCACCAAAGGATAAACCCTATTGAAAATCAGAGAAATTGAAAAATATTTAGTATGAGTTATTGCCCTTATTCTTGAAAACGCGTTCAATTTTTAGTTCGTAAACACTCACGAAGGGACAATTCTTGACGAATTTTGACGAAACTTGGTGTAAGTGCTCGTTATCACCCAAGGATGAACCCTATCGAAATTAAGAAATATTTAGTAGTCGTTTCTGTCCCTGTTCTTGAGAACGCGTTCATTTTTTAGCTTGTGAACACACTAGAAGGCACAATTCTTGACGAATTATGACGAAACTTGGTGTCAATGTTCGTTATCACACAGGGATGAACCCTATTGAAAATCCAAAAAAAATGTTTCATAGGAGTTTTTGACCTCGTTCCTTCAAATGTTTCAAACTTTAGCTCTTAAACGCTAAAAGGCATGATTCTTGCCGGATTTTGACAAAACTTGGTTTTATTTTTCAGCACTGCGCTGAAGGTTTAATATTTGCCTAGAGTTTCCACGAGCTAAAAATTGAACACGTTTTCAAGAACAAGGGCAATAACTCACACTCAATATTATTCAGTGTCGCCCTAAAGAGTTCAAAAGAAGTGTATGACTGAAGGTTGAATATTTCATACTGGTGATTGTTACTGTACTGCTAAATATTTTTATTCAAAATCAAAGCAAATCAAAGTTTGAGATATTAATTTCGTGACTCGTATATATTTTCATAATGACAAATGCGTTGAATATTTTAAAAGTCAACCCGACACCGTAAATACACAAGCTTCCAGCTTTAGATTATATTTTGTTATAATGGGTAATCGGATAATGTTAATGTTAAGTTGTTAATGTCCGTCAATTCCCTGCAAAACATCGAAAAACTATTTCATGCACTGGAAAACAACGGAAAACTAGTTCGTGCCCTGAAAAAAAAACCGGAAAACTATTCCATGCCCTGGAAAACACCGGAAAACTATATCATGCCCTGGAAAACACCGGAAAACCATTTCATGCCATTAAAAACTTTTTCATTCTCTGAAAAACCGAGAAAAAAATTTCATTGCCTTACAAACACCAAAAAACTATTTCATGTTCTTGAAAACACCTAAAAATGTTCTCTTGAAAATCAGAAAACTTTTTCACGCCCGGAAAACACCAGAAAAATACTTTATGCCTTAGGGAACACTGGTAAACTATTTTATGCCCGTGAAAACACCAGGAAACTATTTACTGGGATATGTTAGATTCATGTGGTTTGGAACCATGTTGCCTACAAGATACCAAACTGAACCAACAAGGTATATATTTTTTATAGACTGTGTTAGTTAAAGATATGAAAAAAATTAGGTGATACGAATGTTTTTTTTTAATGTTATAATATATTGGAATAAAAATAATTTGAACCTTCATCAGAGACCTATCCTTGTTGATATTCAACACTTCCTTTATTTAACATATGTCTGAAAAACATGATTTATCTTGTTGCAGAGTTGTTGGCATCTCTTCTAGATTTTTTTTTATTGTGTATCAAATCACTATTAATCTATTCTCCTGGTGTTTAACACGCCATAAATGTGAGACTAAAAAATGTGTTCTTTTATATTTGAAATGAACTTTGGATATGACGACAGTACAATTCGTTGCAAATTCTTTAGAAACCAAACCCAATGCGCTTAACATTCAGTTTATAATCTACATGAATGGTGTTATTTACAGGGCAGGAAGTCATTTATGATATCATATTCAATGTACTTGCGTATGCTGTTTTGTTACAATGAAGTTTTGTCATGGGTAAAATACTATATACTGTAGCTAGTCAAATAAAAAAAAAACTAGAAAGTAAAACCTCTTCCCGAGGCAGAAAAACAAAAGTGATCCAACACTAAAACTCTTATGGCTCTGTCACACCTTCATGATTTAAGATTATTTATACCTAGCGTATTCACAAGAAAAGGATCTATTACAGATAAAGTGAATTGTATCGTGTTCTATCGGGACCACAAAAAATCCGTGATGAAATGACCCTTGATGAACGTCCGAAGATCGTTTACTTTTGGCTCCCTGTGGCCTCTTGCGTAAATATAAGCAACTCTCTCTCATCGGGGACAAACCATCCAGATTGGTAGCCACACATTAATATTATTAGTACATAGAACATAAAGGTACTTCTAAAACTAATAAACAAGTTTAAAAATCATGAGTCGTATTTTTACAATGCTATAAATTCAAATCAATATTATCATTCTTCTGTAGTTATTTCAATTTCAGCATGCCAATTTGCATAACATACAACAACAAAAAAAATACTGATGAAATTTTGATAACACGGCCATTTCCTGGATGTTTTATTGTACGGTTGAAAGAAAACTGACAGTAATATGTTTTCTTTATTGACATCACTAATTGCAACCATTAGCAGTTGAATACAAAACTAGGAAATAACAAGACATAAACCTGTTCATTCATCAATTATTCAATTTTTGTTCAATTACGTGGGAATTGCAATATAATACTCGTGCAATTTACAAACCGGAGAATAAAATTTAACAAAATCTAATTTAGAATTGCCTCAAAAGCAAATTTTAAAAAATATATATTAGATGAGCTTCGTGGACAGTTAAATTTAATATATTTTGAAACAGATTGCGTTGTACGCAAGAAAATTAATATTTGATATGAATGGATTTCTGGATTCCATTATAAATTAAAGTGCCAAAATTTCACAAAATCGTACAGTAATGATGTTTTTGTAGTGTAAGCTGTTTTTTCCTCTCTCGTACACTATAATACCCGGAAGTGGTAATGTAGAGTATCTTTTATTTGTGTAAATATGACTAAATATTCCCATTTTCCTCAGGTAATATATAGGATTTGTGACGTCAATATTTTACTTTTACATGTGAACACGAGGTTTTATATATCCAATACTATTG